TACTATATTCTATTATTGTAAAGAATTGAACTGTCCTGCAGAAGATTTTGTCAATTATTTTTCATAGGATTTCTTGGTAAAGACTGTACAGTTAACAGCACTGTAAAAAAAATATCAGGTAACCTAAAATGTGCTTCATTAAGTGACTTCTTAATTTGTTAAGAAGCTTGTTTTTCGAAAATATGATTTAATACCAATAAGTTACATCAAGGGTCAAATAAAATAGAAATGGCACATTCAAGTTAAAAGTTACAACTGAATGTTGAAACCATTGTGTTTCTATGTATGCTGTACAGGTCAGGCATAAAGAATATTTTTGCTCAGGTGGCGAAAAATGTCCGCCCAATAGAAAAAAGTTTTGCTCAGCAAGAAAAAAAATTAGAGGCAACATTGGTTGTCATCACACCAAAATTTCAGTAGTTGACACAATAGCAGTAAAATTGCATGATACTTGATACTAATTTCTAATAATTAGTTGAATAAAGCATATTAATGAACCAAGAAATAAATAATTAGTGATGAGTAGTTTTCTTGTCAATATCTCATCCTTCCTCTTCTCCCTGTCTTTCCTCTTTCCTTTTTCACTATCCTTGTATGTAAGATATAAAAAGGCAGAATTATTAAATTACACCACCGTTAAAAAGTTTGGGGTCTGTAATGCTTTTTAATGTTTTTGAAAGAAGTTTCTAATGCTCACCAAGGCTGCATTTATTTAGTTAAAATTCAGTAAATATTATTACAATTTAAAATAACTGTTTTCAACTTTAATACATTTAAAATGTAATGTCATTTCTTCAGTGTCACATGATCCTTCAAAAATCATTCTAATATGCTGATTTGCTGCTCAAGAAATATTTTGTATTATTATCATTGTTAAAAACAGATATGCTGCTTAATATTTGTGGAAACTGTGATATAATTTTGTCAATATTCTTTGATAATTAGAAAGTTCAAAAGAACAGCATTTTTTTTTTAATATAAATCTTTTGTAAGTTTTTACTGTCACTTCTGATCAATTTAATGCATCCCTGCTGAATGAAAGCATTCATTTCTTTCAATCAAAATCTTTGAAAACATCAAAAAACATTTGAACGGTAGTGCATATTTGGCAATTCAATTTCACGATCTCACAAACCCCCTGTCGTTCAATAAAAACCTATGGGAAGGGAAACTATGCGTATTTTTCTAAAGAAACAAATGCTTCTGTTAAACGAAATGTAAGTGTTGCTGACAGAATCTGCATCATTAATAATCATCATCATTCATGTTAATATCCACTGTCCCACAGTGACAGCTGTGGAAATCCGAATAAAATAATATTCATCATAATAATATATAATTTCATATATAGAAATAATATATATAGACGTCCTAATAATACTACAATTCACGGAAATATGTATATGCATTTTATGTATGTTTTCCAAGGAAACCAGCTGGTTTGTTTCTTCTCCTTTTATGTACATGTGTTAGGAGAGAAACAGGCAATTAAACACTTGAGTGTGAGTGTCACCACAAATAACATCACAGCTGTGATTTGGTCACAGACATGAGCCAGATCGTCACAGTCGTGATGTTATTTGTGATTATCCTCCAACACAGTTTTATCACTGACTTACAATCAATTTTGCTTAGTAAAACAAATCATCAATCCCTTTTCCCAAAAAGTAGTTTAAAAAAGAGTCTCAAAACATGTTTTCTTTGTACAAAATGATCAACATACAGCTGTTATTGAACAACATGGGTGAACATGGTTTCTCAGCTATTCACATTGAGTGTTCAGAACTGTTGGCATTGCTTGGCTAGAGATCGACTAAACTGAATAATATCTTATGCAGACTCATGTTCAGTAAATAAATGCATAATTACACACTCACTTTGGAGATCCTCATGATTCAGATACATAAATGTGTCAGGTAATACATCGGCAGCAGAGCTGAACTTAATATGAGAACCTAAAAGCTGATGTCCAAAAAGTCCCCGAAAAATCACTTGATCCGTCTCTCTCTGGGCTGGATTCATTGTTCGCCAGGGCACGTTTATTTTCTTCCACTCTCTACTTGTTACCATCCAAACAATTACTTATAAAAATTCTTTGTACCTGCTGAAATTGCTGCCGTTAGTATTTTCATAGGATTTACGATTTTCACTCTCTGCAGGAGAAACGGATAGCATCTCTGGACGCGGCTAACGCGAGGCTAATGAGCGCCCTGTCCCAGCTGAAAGAGCGCTACAGCGTGCAGACGAGGAACGGCATCTCTCCCACCAACCCCACCAAGCTGCAGATCACAGAAAACGGGGAGTTTCGCAACAGCTCCAACTGCTGAACACAATGAAGACAGAGGACATGAGCAGGTGTGCAGCGATTCTGTAAGTGAACACTGAGAGAAATACTGAACACAAAGCCATTGTTTGGAAATGTGGAGAAAGATCCACTGTAAACATCCGCCGGTGAGACTACTGTTCAAGTACTTCATGTTAGGACACACCACTAGACTTTCATTCGTGTTTCACTATAGCTAACTGTAAAATATAAAAGAAAAAAACAATACAGCTGACTTGGTGACATTATACAGATATTAGAACCTTCTAGTCTGCAAAAAAAAAAAAAGTCATTTTACATGCTTAAAAAAATTGGTGTTTTCATACAGCCTTTAAAAAAAGACACTAGATTTTGTCCCATTTATTTATAGTGGTCTCCACTTTAATAAGAAATGACTGAAACTGTGGAGAATTTAGCACTCTCCTCCATATCCTCTTTTATTAGATCACTTTCTGCTTCTGTTTCTCCCTACATAGTGCACTTTGTCTCTCCATCATGAGAAGCCTTAAAATGTTGCATCTGAAATATTTGGGTTTTTTTTGTTGTTTTTTTACAGTTCAGATGAACATTATGATAGATTATAATGTGCAGAGATTTTAAAAAGTATATATTTTACATTATCCATTAACAAGTTTTCTGATTTTTAATCTTGACAAAAATGTTTCAACAATGTTTGTAACAAACATTACAAGTGTCATTTTTGGTCCATTTTTAGATATGCCAAGATTTTGAATTAGCACAAACTGCTCGGATGGAGCAGAGCGAATGTTTTAGACACTACAGTAGACCAATTTTAGTTTTGAAAACTGCCTTGTTTAATCTCGTGTTTTCTTCCTACAATGTTTGGGAGAGTTTTTCTTCATTTGTTTCTCCTTTTTTTAAGCCTTTTTAATTCTTTTGTACATGTGTGTTTATTTTATGTCGCCTCATCGGTCCAAATTGCTGCACACTTTCATTTGGAGCATTTAGAGTTTGTATATTTTTGTATTTAATAATGTATGTAAGAACTCTTCTGCATTTATCATGTTTGGCACTGAGGTGCAGCATGGAGCTGCTGTGTTCCTTTAACTTGTTGGTCTTTGAGGAAGTTAGACACAAGACACGTCTCGATTTTGTTGCAGAAATAAACAGAAACATATTAAGACAACCTGTCGTGGGACATGTAAGATAGAGATGTTATTTTTAAGGGAAAATGTCTCTGGATATGAGCTCTGTGATGGAGTAATATGTGAATAAGTTAATATTATATATATATATATAAAGCAACGTTCACGGTTACTCTAGTGTGAATGACGGTGTTACATGTCTGAAATGTGAGATCAGATTGAGAGGCAACAATCTAACAAGCACAAACCGCATCTGTCGCCCCAGCTTCTCAAATGCTTTGAAGACTATGCACTTTTCCCCTTTGTCGTGTCCACCTGGGTTTACTTCACTCCATGAACATGTAGCAAACTCAAGGTGCTCATTGTTATTATTAATCCAGGGAAGCTCTGATTTGTCATTCGTTTTATTTGTAGCATTATCATTCGTAGCATTGTAGCCAAACGCTAAATCCATACAGTGTAAATGCCATGAGACTAACAATTGGACTGTGTTAGGAACCTCAACCAATCACATGTTCTTTTGATGCCCTGGTAAAGTAGTTTTGCATGTACTGAATGCTTCAGCACTGTCTAAATAAGGCAGATCAGTGTCTAGGGTCATTTAAAATGCATTTGATCAACTTTTAAACTCGGCTTGGGGCTCGTGTTGTTGCACAAAAGGGAACCAATATTTATTTTTCACAAGACTTTTCTCATAGACGCGGCTGTCAACTTCTCAGTTTGTTCATGCTCTGCTTTTAATGAGGTCTGATGTTTTGCAGAGTCATTATGTCTATTTTCATACACATGGGAAGCTACTAGGGAGTCAAAAAATAGTTCTTTAGAAAGTTATTAAATAAAAGTTTTTTTGCTGTCGTCTCAGTTCTTTTCATCAGATGTGTCTTTATCTGGCTTCAGGTCAGTTCTCAAAGTGTAGGAAAGTTTTGTAAGTAAAACTATTTGCGCATCGTTTTTTTTTTTTCAAGCAGTCAATGTGAAATTGTAGCTGTGTGAAATAAATGATATAAAGAGAAAATCTATAAAATCTATAAATGAGTACCTAAAATATGTTGTATGTTTTATAATCCTTGTAGAAAAGATTTTTGTAAGTATGTTTAAAGTAAAGTATTGGCTGGACCCTTGCCTTGTTTTAGGACAATGACAAGAATAATAATGTACAGAGAAATGTGTCCATGTTAAGAACTATACAATTGTGGCTGTGCAATTTATGTACATTTGCAACTAGAATAATTAAAGTTTTATTTAGTTATTTCATATCCCTGCTTTGTTGTCTTCATTACTGAATCATTCACTTGACAAGCATAATGCAACAATCATAAAATGTGGCGTTTCCTACTGATGTTTTTTCGAACCCAAAGTATGACGTTACATAAGCCAACTATTGGGTTAGTAATAAATATATCACTGGAGATTTCTATTTCAAATACATGCTGTTGTTTTGAGTGTTCTATTCATCAATAAGACAAAATGTATCACATTTAAAAAAAAAAAGACCAATCCCACACTTTGGAAAGGGTGTGTGTGTATATACTGAGAACAACTGAAGAAGTGTAATGAAACCATACAGTGTATTGTTTGAAATGCAATGTTTATTCATGACCATAAAAAGTGCATCTCAGTCAAGCCTAATGTGTATATATGTAGATGCCTGCAGCTGCAATGTGATATTAAATGATCTGTGTAAATATGTGCTAATCCTGTGAGATGTCCTCTTGCATTAAACCACAGCAAACCCCTTTTTTCCCTTCTATCATAATTTCTACAAGCAGTTCAGTAAAGCTACAGTAAATGACTTAAGTGAAAAACAATAAATAATAAATCTCTATGGTTATAAATAAAACACAACTTCGTAAACTTTGGGTGCACTTGGTGCCATGCCTGGTGTTAACAACATTCCCTAACGAAAGGCCAGCGTGTTCTGCCTAGTTAAAGGTGGCCATTTGAGATAATTAGCTGCTTTTCTGAAGTGAAGTGGTGTTACGACAGCATCCCTTCCCTTTAAGAAACATTGAATCCCTGGGATATTTTCTCAAGGATGCTTTCTTATCCCTGCAGTGATTGATTCACACAAATACTACCCACATTACCTGAAGGTAAGCATATAGGAGCAACGTGGCACAAGTCACATGCTCACACACACGCTGTCCACTCATTTAGCACTGAAACAAGTGCCTAAGTGTTAGTGTACTGGCATCAGAACACACACATGAATGTATTCTGTTACATTTTTTCTGTGTAGTGTGGTGAAAGAAATATCTTTATCTGAGCTGTGTATAAACAATTCAACTTAAAGCTATTGCACAGAGAGTGAATCTATCCTGGCTTCTATATTTGATGATATTGGGTTCATTATTCTTGTTTATTTATTCAAAAGCACATGGCATTGCCCACTGGACATTCCTCAGAAGTCATGGAACTGTTTGTATGTGTGAGATTGTCAGTTCTCTGTGTTTGCTTTAGCAGAGAGTTGCATCGGCTGTTGCCGTAGATGGTGTCGGCGTGTCAGTGCTGGGGAACTGAACGTGTTTGGCGCTGATGATTGAGTTGGTTGTGACCGGTGTGGCCGTGGCTTCTCACTGTGGCTCTGCCCCTCGAGTGCCCCCTCACACACCTCCAGCAACAAGACCACCTGCTCCCGCAGGGGTACAGCCTTGAACCTGCGTGCTGCCAGGTAGAAGAAGGCCTCAATAAATGCCTGAAGACACATTCCTGAGAGAGAGAGAGAGAGAGAGAGAGAGAGAGAGAGAGAGAGAGAGAGAGAGAGAGAGAGAGAGACAGAGAGAGAGAGAGAGTGAGTGCTTACTTTTATTAGATACTCAAAATTAACCAATCGCTTCCTTAGTTAAAGGGGTCATTTAATGGTACATGCACTTTTACAAGTTGATTGTACTGAAATGTGTGTTGGCAGTGCCTGTACACAACCATCATAAAATGATAAAAATCCATCCAGTGTTTTTGTTTTAATCTCCTTATATGTTTTCCCCGGTCTCAAATCAAGCCGTTTGAGCTTGTGACGTCACACGGTCGGAAGCCCCTCCCGCGATTGTTGATTGACAGCAACCGACAGCAACGTTTCAACACAGACCCGCCCTCGCTTGTGAGCGAGCTGTCAATCATAGTCTGCGCGGACCGGCGCGGTCATTGTTGATATGCTGGAGCACTGTCTATGAGCAGAATGGCGTCTAAGCGATTGTGGTGTTCTGTTCTTGGGTGTAATAAGGAACCCAGCAGTCATTTGAATGTTCCTAAATCCGAACCGCTAATGACGCAGTGGCTGAGTTTGTTTTTAGAGGGAATATTCCCCACGAGCAACGTCAATGCTTTCATGTTTGCGCGAATCATTTCTCACCAGACTGCTTATAAAGGAGGGTCAGTATAAAGCTGGTTTTGCTAAGAAGCTGCTCATGAGTGTAACGTTTTATTAAACTTTATATTAATATTTATATTAATCTTTGCAAATCGCTAGCTGCACGCTTCACAATGAATGCGTCTAAGGTTTACACTTAGGGTACATTACGGCATGTTTTCTATGTATGATGTTCTCAATATAATTCATAATCCCACGTTTATACTGAACAACGCGTTATGGTTATTGTGTTATACACTGTGTACGCATAGAACAGAGAGGCGAGGTGACCAAAGCTCATTATCATTTAAAGTCATATGCACTGAAACGGCGTGCTGAAAACAGAGCTGTTTTTGACCAAGTAAAATAAGTGTTTTCTTACAATACTAATGAGAATTTTTAATTAAAGTATATTACAAACTTTTAATTTAGACCCTAAAGAATCATACTAGCTTATACAAAAATGGCATTATATGACCCCTTTAAAATATACAATCATGTGCCACGTACAAAAGTGTTAGTTTACTGTCGAAGTCAAAAAGACAGATAAGTTAAGTCAGAATAAACATTTACAGATAATGAACATTTACAGAATTGTGAATAATAATATGAATAAATAGAATTAAATTCATTTACAAGGATATTGCACAAAAAAGTGGGGTACTGCACAAGAGGGAAAAAGCCTGTGCGAAGAAACTGTTCCTCTTGACCCATCTTATGACAGTTATGACATTGATTAAAAATTACATGGTCAAAAAAAAGTAAAAAATGAAACCTGCATGGATGAATCATTTGCAATAAGATCAATACGATGCATTAAGAAAATAAGACTGAATTTTCATTTCGTGCCAACTTTGATATGACTCAGGTCCCTCCTTCAATGTAAGTCTATGGAACTTCGTCGCCCATACATGTAACGTATAACAATGACCCTGTAAAATAAAGTGTTACCAAATAATCTATACAAACCAAACAAGACAATACATGTAATTTGTCATTTAAATAGTATACTGAAAAGAGAATGAAAGATTTGAGAAGAGTCATTAGTGACATTATTTCCAAGTTGTAAGAGGCTTTAATCAGAAGTGTACATATGGCAGATTTCCCCTTCTGCTTGTTTATTAATTAATGGGGCTTCATCTGTGTATTATTTAGTGTATGTGGTTTCAGTCATATCTCCACTCTGATGAAAACTTAATCTATATTATGCTCCTGCTAAAAAAACGTCATCTGCAAGTGCAAATCATCAGCAGTGAATTCTCAAGGTCACATCTGAGCCTGAGAGTCGAGGGAGAAAAATACAGACAGCTTTAGTCTAAACAGAAACTTTGAACATTTTAAACATGAAGAAAGAGAGCCGTGAAATTCTCTCTGCACATTTCAATGGAAAGCCACTTGCTGTTAATACAAATATTCAGGTTCTCAGGAACCCTTAGGGGGTTTGAGCCTGAAGATGGATGCGGATCTCTTGTCTGACTACATATACTGAGCGTTAATGAGCCCTCGCTGCGTACATGATGAAATACATCTCGAAATAAAACAGAGGCTGCATGCTGTGCTGGTCAGAAATATGTGTACATTGAGAATGGATGGCGACAATTAATAAAGCAATGCTGTTTCCCAGAAGGAGAAAATGGGTTTCATTAAGCAGACAAATGAAGGAGCGCTTAAAGAACTCCGCATTATCCTGTCAAATGAAGCAGACTGAGCTCTGGGATGGATAGGAGTGAAGAGGGGAACTCAAAGACCGATAAATCCTTCCTTCTTTAAGTATTCGGTCCAAGTGTCCAGTCAGCATTCCTCAATAGTAAATGTATTACTATTAATGAAGATCACGGCAGCGCTATCTCTCCCTTTCCTCCTCGGGGATAAACAGTCTGACCCACCACCGCTTTTAAACAGCTACTTCTATTATTTATAAATATCAACCTTATCCACCAGTTATTACTTTCCTCTCCCCACACAGTTTGTCTTCTATGAGTGTGTGTGTTGATTTCCAACTGCAAGGCACTAATGACCAAATTCAGTGCAACCTTCTGGAATTCAGCTCACGTCATTCCACTCTGGCCATTTAGGAGCTCAGAGACTCAAGTATATATTCATTCTCTCTTTTGATTAGGAGAAGCAAGGCCTGGCATGCATTATTCATTTCATACGTTCCTCCAAGACAACGATGCTAGCATGACCTAACCTAATGCACCGTCACAAGGAATATTACCAGTGCTCATTTAAAAGCAGAAATTACTTGTGGGCACATTAGCTTTGGCACACACACGCACACACTCACACACTCACACACACACACACACACAAAATGTTCCCATTTACCAAAGTATCTTTTCAATGTGAAAGCAAAAAAAAAAACAAAAAAAACATTAAAGAAATTAAAATATGAAAGATTGAGGCAGAGCTTGAAAATTTGGTTATGTGGCATTAGTTGATTGGCCATGTATTTTTCCAATTTACAAGTACTGGGCAAATGAACGAAGAAGTGAATTTATTTGTCAATTATCTCCCCTGACGATCTCATTTATGACTGCATGTGAGGGGAAATGCGCTAAGATGAATGGTTGCAAATGTGTCTTTTATTGGAGGCTGTTTAACAGCTTTTTGATTGTGTGTCAGCCTCGGGAGTGAAGATATGCTGTAAATTGCATCATGATCGGTGGGCTGCTTGCCTGCTTCTCTGGAGTCGGGGAGCATTCCAGCCCAGCGGCGTGTGATGTCGATGTACAGGATGTCCACTGAAGCCATCGAGAAGCTGCTGTTACTCAGCTTGCAGTTCCTAAAGGAGACACTCGATTAATGTGGTACGTGACCAGTGTCGGGGAAGTTCATTTTAAAAAGTAGTGTAATTAGTTACTCGTTACTTCTTAAAAAAAGTAATCCGTTACTTTACTTAGTTACCCCATATGGAAAGTAACTTTTTACGTTACTCGTTACTTTTACGTTACCTTTATGTTGCTTGCCTTTGGGCAGAACCCAATATCTGTTCCTAAATGTGTAGGCCTACATAAAGTTCTACTATGCATAATGCCATAAATGCATAATGCATTTATCAAAAATTTTAATATTTATGAAGAAATGCCCGTTAATAGGCATATGCATTGGGCGGTGCTAGGGAGGGGCTAGAAAGAAAGCCCCCAAGAAAGACCAAAGCACCCCGTTAGCACCCCCAAAAATAATTTCTGGAAGCAATTATATTCAGGCTGTATACAATGGAAGTCCTGAACCGCATGGTGAAGAAAAAAAAAGAAAACTTATCTTGTTATTTCGACATATTAAGGGGACATTCTAATCTGCATTAAGCCAAATTAAGCGTTCTTATAATGGTTTTCTATGGGAGGAAAATGTATTATTAAAATTAATTAAAAGTGTAATTAAACACGTTGCGATCATATTCTGGGCTCATCTGATTTTTTGTACATAGTATAGCCTACTTTATTATGATTTTTGTATCATAATGATTAATGAATGCATGCACAATTATCCGTAAACTTGATAAATGTTGCAGAATTAAATGAATGTGCAGCAAGTTGTACAAATAGAGAGTCTAAGCCTACTATACGTGTTGTTGTAGCCATTAAATAAGCGCATTTAGTTTCATATTTGTTAAAATATTATAATATTTTTTTTTTCCATCTATGTTGATTATGAAAAGTGAACAGCATGAGTAAGATGGATGCGCAATATATCGGGAGACATTGAATGGGTCAGACATGATTTCTGATCATGACCACTTTATTAAGTTTTGTTTTGAAGAAAGCCTTTCTTTAAAGTGAATTTCGTTTTGTATAAATTGTATCTTAATTTTAATCATTTTTTTATCAACCAATTGCCTGGATTTAATGAATAAGCAGCAAATATAGCAGACAATACAATCATGACATGGAGAAACGGTCACTTGTTGCGCGTGAACTGGAGCGCATCTCTTCATAAATTAACCGAAACTCAGCGTATGCCTCACAGACATGAGAAATATATCTATATATAGAAAGCTTGAAATGTCTTTAAACAAAACAATTCAAAGGGAAAAGAAATAGGCTACTCTCTGATTATGTAATCCATTATGTGCATTTCTCTCTGTAGGCGCGTTCACTACGGAGATGGCGATCGCTGTCAAATCTGTCAAATGACGGAGATCGCTGTCAAATCTGTCCCTGGGAAAAGTAAGGTTGCGCCGAATTGAAAATTTTCAGTAGTAGCGCGTTACACTACATTTTACCCGAAAAAGTAGTTATGTTACTGTAACGCACAACACACACAACACTGTACGTGACACTTCAATGTAGCCTTATTCTGACAATGGAAAACACTAAGAGGCTCTATGGAGGCAGAATTGTGTCAATCAATGTAATGGTTGTTGTTGGATTGAACATGTGACAGATGTTGACAGATGTTGCTTTGAAGGTTAGAACATTGGCTTTGCTACTGCCATCCTCTAACAGTCGAACTAAAGGAACTAATGACTTGCCTGATGAAGGTTCGGAAACCGGTCGGCCCCAGTCTCATGGTTCCTTTGACACCAAGGAAGCGCAGGAAAATGGCAGCAATGCGTTCCACGGCCCGCAAGTTATTAAACTGCTTGGTGTATTTGGGGAAGACTTGTTTTAAACACAAAGTTGGAAGAGAATCCATCAAGCCTTCTTTCTCATCACTTCCTGTCTCCACAGCAATACCGTCTTCTGGTGAACCGCCCCCCGTGTTTAAACTGTTGGCATAGAAACAAAAGGTTAAACTCAACACACACAAAATCCTTTGTGTAGACCTGCAACATTGAATCTCTAAATTGAGGAAGCAGCGGTATATACACTCACCTAAAGGATTATTAGGAACACCTGTTCAATTTCTCATTAATGTCAATTATCTAATCAACCAATCACATGGCAGTTGCTTCAATGTATTTAGGGGTGTGGTCCTGGTCAAGACAATCTCCTGAACTCCAAACTGAATGTCAGAATGGGAAAGAAAGGTGATTTAAGCAATTTTGAGCGTGGCATGGTTGTTGGTGCCAGACGGGCCGGTCTGAGTATTTCACAATCTGCTCAGTTACTGGGATTTTCACGCACAACCATTTCTAGGGTTTGCAAAGAATGGTGTGAAAAGGGAAAAACATCCAGTATGCGGCAGTCCTGTGGGCAAATATGCCTTGTTGATGCTAGAGGTCAGAGGAGAATGGGCCAACTGATTCAAGCTGATAGAAGAGCAACTTTGACTGAAATTACCACTCGTTACAACCGAGGTATGCAGCAAAGCATTTGTGAAGCCACAACACGCACAACCTTGAGCCGGATGGGCTACAACAGCAGAAGACCCCACCGGGTACCACTCATCTCCACTACAAATAGGAAAAAGAGGCTACAATTTGCAAGAGCTCACCAAAATTGGACAGTTGAAGACTGGAAAAATCTTGCCTGGTCTGATGAGTCTCGGTTTCTGTTGAGACATTCAGATGGTGGAGTCAGAATTTGGCGTAAACAAAATAAGAACATGGATCCATCATGCCTTGTTACCACTGTGCAGGCTGGTGGTGGTGGTGTAATGGTGTGGGGGATGTTTTCTTGGCACACTTTAGGCCCCTTAGTGCCAATTGGGCATCGTTTCAATGCCACGGCCTACCTGAGCATTGTTTCTGACCATGTCCATCCCTTTATGGCCACCATGTACCCATCCTCTGATGGCTACTTCCAGCAGGGTAATGCACCATGTCACAAAGCTCGAATCATTTCAAATTGGTTTCTTGAACATGACAATGAGTTCACTGTACTAAAATGGCCCCCACAGTCACCAGATCTCAACCCAATAGAGCATCTTTGGGATGTGGTGGAACGGATGTGGATGTGCATCCCACAAATCTCCATCAACTGCAAGATGCTATCCTATCAATATGGGCCAACATTTCTAAAGAATGCTTTCAGCACCTTGTTGAATCAATGCCACGTAGAATTAAGGCAGTTCTGAAGGCGAAAGGGGGTCAAACACAGTATTAGTATGGTGTTCCTAATAATCCTTTAGGTGAGTGTGTGTATATATATATACACACAAATTTTGACAATTTTTTTTACAATTATATATTTTCTACAAGTAACAGAAAAATTAATAAAGCATTCAAAAAAGAAATATTAAAATACAATTTACAAATAATTTGTTTTTAAATTGTAATAGTGAAAACTTTAATGTAAAACTGATAACTTTATAACCACGCAAACTTTAACCATTTTAACTGGTGTCCTATGCAATAAAATATATATTGTACTAAGTTACTCTCTCTCTCTTCCTATCGCTTTTTATATTTTGTCACATTTAAGACGCTAGATGAGGAAAAAAAGTCAAGGTCACATAAGAAACAGCTAAACAAGATTTTGTGATAACAGCATTACGCATAAACAAAGAAAATCTGTCAAGTAGGAGAATGGAGAATTTCAAACCAAAATAACTAAATAAAAAATAAAAAGAAATCCTCAGTGAATAGCATCACAAACCACAAGCCTTACAATTTTCTCTCATTAGACCCCTCTTTCTCTCACTTACCCCAGGACAACATAATGAAAAACAATTATTTAACAATCACAAAACCAACGGAGCGAACTGCAGTCCTCTCATACGTGCACTGAGCCCAGATGGCCGAGAAACCAAAAGCAGTTTGTTGTGTGTAGATGACTGCATTTCAGCTCTGATGTAAGTAACTCTGCACTTTTAGTCTAAGTAGATGCACTTCCATGGCTTCTGACCTGAAGGTTGTGGCTCGAGACTTAGGGTAAAAGTGCTAATGACACTGACATGACTTACTAACACACTTAATAGGTTTACTTGAAGACAGGAAGAGTCTTCTCTCTCACATACAACCTTTAGCACGCACATACACCATCTGAGTGTTTTTTTCTGCTTCACAAACTTAATACAATCGACATAAATCATTTCAACATGTTCTTCAAAATGTTAAGGAGAATTTTTTTTAGTAAAATCCACTGACAAAAAAAACGTATTCAAAATACCAAGGTATTACTATGTGTTTGTACATGCACCATGGTATTCATTTTTATTCTTTGAAGCTTATAATTTTATAAAGCACGCACTTTATTTTTTAGTAATAAACATGCCACAAATGCTGTCGACTGACCTTAACTTGTACTGAACCTGCAATGTTTCCTGGAAGATATCACACTTGTCTCTGTGACTGCCGGAGGCTCTATAAACAGCCAAAAAAATGGCTTGACTTTTAATATAATCTCATAAGATACTGTATGTCTAACATATTTATCGAAACATCGAATCGCCTCAGGGTCATCTGAGCTAATTTCCCACAGAAGCCTCTGAAAATGCGCAAGATAAACTGGTCCAACAAGACACATGATCGACATCACTAGTAGAGGAACAGCACAAATATAACTGAGAACTCTGCGAGGAATAGACTGTCATTATACAACACTAGTGAAGACATTCTGGCTTCGTAAAGCCTTAGTGACTGTCTACTTGTCAGCATTAGCCGTGACAATTGTACTCAGGACACCATAGCTTCAAAAAGCATCAAAGGAAGCGAATCAGAAGAGTTTGTGATCACGGCATGTAGATTCAGACCGTCACTGATGAAGGTTTGTTATTTCAGGTTGACTTGAATGAGGTTATAAGATGAAAGAGATTGTGACTGAGCATGAAGAACTTTCTCTCGGAGTGTCCTTGATTTATTTTATTCATTCAATCTTTTGTGCCAATAAGAGTTTGTTTGCTCGACCATAAGAGACATTCCTACAGGGGAGACTGTTTGTAAATGTATTTATGGCATACTAATATACTCCTTGTAAGAACTAGAAGTCTAGAAGTATTACTGAGTACGTTTAAAAAAAAAAAAAATTATAGCCTTTACAGAGTTTGGAAGACTTTTAGCAATTTTTTTATTTTTATTTTTTTAAATAAGAACAACTTGTATATTTTTTCATTTACTGCTGCCCAGAAGAATCTGCATAACATATGTAAATGTTTCACAAGACAAAATAAATGAAATCACACAAATTAACAAAATCGCAATAACGCAATAAATTGAATGAGTGACAGTTCAGACAGTTAATGTTACAAAAGATTTCTGTTTAAAATAAATTCTATACTTTTAAACTCTATTCATAAAAAAATCCTGAAAAAAAGTATCACAGCTATCACAAAAATAATAAGCAGCAGGACAGTTTTCATCCGTTATAATAAAGAAAACGTTTCTTGAGCACCAAATCAGCATATTAGAATGATTTCTGAAGAATGAGACTGAAGAATGAAGACTGTGGTTGAGAGGGAAACAATTAAGAACCAATAGTACAAGATAATGAGTGAAAATTAAGTTATTTTATCTTCCAGATGTTGTCAAAAAGTTTCCTCAGAACAGTACTAAATAATTGATATACAGTGGTGTGAATAAGTTATTACCCCCATGCTAAAGTTGCCTAAAAAGAGGAATAAAAAATCATCTTTTGGAAATTGATCTTAATGCCTTAATTAGAAAAATGAGGAAAAATCCAACCTTTAAGGACACCAATTTTCTTTGTGTATGAATAATGTATCATAAATAAATAAATGTTCTTCCTTAAAATACAGGGTGCATAAGTCAGGCCCCCCCTATGTTAAATTCCCATATAGTCAGGCAGATTTTTATTTTTAAAGGCCAGTTATTTCATGGATCCAGGATAATATGCATCCTGATAAAGTTCCCTTGGCCTTTGGAATTAAAATATCCCACATCATCACATTCCCTTCACCATACCTAGAGATTGGCATGGTGTTATTTCAGTTAGCCTAATAGCTGGTTTGATTTGCATTGAAAGATGATCTTATGGAAAGTACCCCATGCCAATCTCTAGGTATGGTGAAGGGAATGTGATGATGTGGGTCTATTTTATTTCCAAATGCCAAGGGAACTTTATCAGGATGCATATTATCCTGGATCCATGAAATAACTGGCCTTTAAAAATAAAAATCTGCCTGACTCTATGGGAATTTAACATAGGGGGGGCCTGACTTATGCACCCTGTATTTTAAGGAAGAACATTTATTTATTTATGATACATTATTCATACATAAAGAAAATTGGTGTCCTTAAAGGTTGGATTTTTCCTCATTTTTCTAATTAAGGCATTAAGATCAATTTCCAAAAGATGATTTTTTTATTCCTCTTTTTAGGCAACTTTAGCATGGGGGTAATAACTTATTCACACCACTGTATATATATATATTCACACACACATACTTGGCAGTTTTGAGTAAGAATAATTCAAGGACTTATTCATAATCAAGAACTGAAAACAGAGAGAAAGAAAAGCATGATTAAACACCACAAACCAGACAACTGTGCTAGATCATAAAAAAGGCACATCTAAAGGCTAAATTAGCAGATATTAAACAGAAATGTGCACACAGAGTCTTTTCCACTCTCACGTCTCAATTAAACTCTGAGCTGACTCCACACTTTCCTCGGAAACAATGGCAGCCTGACTTTTATTTCCCCCCAGGCCCAGACACTAAAGTGTAGAAGTGTGGCCGTGTACAATGAGCTACAATAAAAGGATGAATGCATGAGACACAATCCCGCTCATGGGGCACGAGGCCGTCCGCATTTCCATGACTGAGAGAGAGGGGAAGAGTGGCCACACAAGTGATAAATTCCATCAGAGGATTTCCTGAATTTAATTTTCCCATCTAAAAGGCTTATGACTGCAGCTCAACAAGCCATTATTTCAGCTCCACGAAGATGACAACATGCACTGGTAGGCATGCACACACAAATACACACTGCACCATCAACTGACTCAAAAGTCTTCAAGCCTATGACTCACGTTACGTGTTGTTTCCTCTGAGCGGGGTCCATGAGCCGCAGCGTGTCTCTGATCACACCCACTTTCACCTCCTCATCTACTGGACTCGGTACATATTCATACACACCAGGTGACACCTGTAACATACAGTATGGCGTCAATAATCAGCATACTAACAAACTCATGTTTACATCCTCAGTCTGTAAACAAAAGTGCAGTCAATGTTTGTTGGGGGTTAGTAAGACTCTTATGTTTTTAGTCAAAAACTTTTAGTTTTTGTTGGTTGGTTTGTCTTGTGCTAAGCAAGGCTGCATTTATTTGATCAAACATAGAGAAAAAAACAGTACTATTATGAAATACTATTACAATTTAAAAAAAAAAACTTTTTCTATTTTAATTTTAAAATGTCATTTATTCCTGGCAAAGCTGAATTTTCGGCAGCCATTACTCGTCTTCAGTGTCACATGATCCTTCAGAAATCATTCTAATATGCTGATTTGATGCTCAAGAAGCATTCCTTATTATTATCAATATTGAAAACAGTTGTGCTGATTGTTTTTGTGTGAAAACCATGATATATACACAATCTTTTTTTTTCTTTACAGGATACTTTGATGAATGAAAGAATTCAAAAGAACAGAATTTATTTGAAACATGAATCTTATATAATATTATAAATATCTTTTCTGTCACTACTGATCAGTTTAATTCATCCTTGCTAAATAAAAGTATTAATTTCTTGAACAAAAAATCTTACTGACCCCAGATTTTTTAACAGTAGTGTATAGCATGTTTTTTTTTGGACATGTACCATGATGATATATACTATAATCTTTACAACAGTTCTGCCACAGTACTGTTTATAAAGTACCTGTTTATTTGAATCACATCATGTTCAAAGAACATCTGCACCCTCACCTCCTGCTCGTGTTCAATCCTCATGCTGGGATTGGCATTGACCTCTAGTAAAACAGGCTTCAAGTTCTTCATCAGCAGGATATCAAAGCCCAGGATCTAAAATTGGGACACATCATCTTCTGTTATTTAGATTTTAATGACTTCGAAAACCAGCGATTTGCAGAGGATTAGGGGTGGCCTGCTGAAGGAAAAACATAGTTAACAGCATATGGGTGTGTGCTCATTTTTCGCATTTGAATGACCTATATGTAGGACACCTAAATGCAAACCGCATCACAAACACAAAAGAATTCATTGCAAATATACCTGGAAACATGTCGGTCCTGGTTTTCCAGGCGGTATATCTGCCTGGTAATACACCTTCAGTTCAGGCACAAGTGCAATTACTGTTTTGATAACCAAAGCAATAATGTCTGACCAGACCTTCTTGATGTCCACTCCTTTAGATGCTATGCGATAGAGAACGCTAGAGAAGGTGCGTTTACTGCCCGTGCTGCAGCTGTCGGAGTGGACAAAGTTCCCGCTGTGCACATTAAGGGAATAGTTGGTAAGGTGCATAAAAACATGACTGAGGTTCTTCTGGCTGGGTTCTTGGTAGGGTTCTGTGCAGAACCTGGACAGACCCTCTTTAGCAATGTAGATCTCTAAAGGCTCCAACGAGCGGACCAGAACATAGAGGCGGATATCAAACTTCAACTTATCGATGAGCAGGGGTTTCTGGATATATTCTTGAACAACGGCTTGTTTGATCTGAGAACCTGAGATAGCCCGAAGGTCAGCAGGGTCACGGATGAGGTAGATGCCGTCGCCCTGGGATCCGCTGTCCGGTTTGACAATGAAAGTGGGTTTGAGGGTTGAATCGTTATCCTTCAGGAGACGAATCTTGAGGGGGGAAAAAAAGATGACAAAAGTAAAAGCTGCACAGTCATTTGTTTTTCAAATATGCTTGCAAAAAAAAACAAGAAGCCTTTTGCCATCCCTGCAAAGAATTAACCCTTATTACTACTCTAAATTCTGTCCTTAATTATAATCAACCAAAAGTGATCATTTAATTTAACATTATTAATCATTTTATTTTGGACTATTCTGAAATACACGTAAATTTCATGCAAGTTATTTTGAGAAAACTATAAATAAAAGCAAAATCATTGTCTTTCTAATGTGAGGGTCTGAAATGGTTAACATGAACAGTATTTAGCAGTCTCCGGTTAAAGAGCTCTGAATGATAACACATTTCAAGATTATAAACAAAGTAAAACAATATTGATCCAACTGTTCTGCTAAAAAGGTAATACTTTTTTTTTAAGGCAGTGAGTGCTCGTGACTGTCCACTGATAGCATTATGGTTAGTAAACTAAACCTCATATTTCCAACTAATGCAATGGTTTTCTTCAGACAGAATGCATTAGCAAATATTTGTTTTTGCTCCCTTTTTGAAGAACCTCCTGCAGATCTTTGCTGCCCTCTGCAGCTTTTCTCATTTCTAAAGTCTTGCCTCAATCAGGCTCAAAACAAAATATGCATGTACATGTAATAATAAATATAAACAACTAATAATTTATCTCAAATAGAGAAATAAAGAGTAAAAACTTGATTTAAACTAAATTGATTTAACCGGACAGTGTAAGAGAGAATCCCCTTTAAGCAGCTCATCTGAGCAAATGAAGCACGCAGCTAACCGTGACATGCAGAAGGGGATTGAAGATGCAAATCCTGTAACAAACTTGTCATTCACAATTAGCTGTTTCTGGCCAGTGGCCACTAAACTGCTTAACCTGGTTTTACTGTGATTCTGTCCTGACCAATTACTACCACAGCAATCTACCTATAGATACACCACTGAGAGAAACACTGCAGGGGACGACAGCAAATAGAATAGACTTTGACTAGGTATCTAGCAAGAAGAAGATGTGGCTCCTGTAAATGTCCTAGAGTCTAATACCATGTCCTAATCAAGTTGCATGAGTTTGTCTCTCCATTTCATTGAGCTTGTACCTGTGTGGAGAAGAGCTGGTATTCCTCGGGCAGTATCCAGGAGCGTGGGTAGAAGTTGTACTCCTCCGGGAACAGCTCTTGCATGGTGCGCACGGCACGACTCAGGTTTATCTTCCGCAGCATCTCTATCATTCCTGCTGACCGAACAGGACAGTTGATGAGAAAACAGAGTGAAGTCTTAGAGAAACTGTACAAAGGTCAGAGAATGGCTGCAGTTCCCCGTCATTCTATGGCCCTACTGGGACATTATTCTCTCAAAAAGATTTCCCTATTTCCCAGCAGTTTCATTAAATCACTTGTTCATTTGATTTCAATAGCTTCATAGCACACACACTGGCACACAGCTTGGAAATGCTGTCTGTGTGAAAGCAACTGTCAATACAGCTATGAAAACAGCCATATCACATCCAACCCATGAGTCAGCAGCCCTTGAGACTCCTTTATGACTCCACTGCTGAAAACTAGAACAGTCCAGTGATCAATACTCATCATATGATTGAGAACCTGCCTCTAAAAGTAAGCACAACATTACTTACTAACCTTATTTCAAAGAAAATGTGTCTGATAAAAGCTAGTACTGGTTTTTATTAAAATTTTAATTTTATCATTGTATTTCTGTTTTGTTTTTATTATATTTCATATTTTTTGTTTATTTATATACTTAGTTTCAGTTTTAGTAATTATAATTAAAGAAAGAAGATGAACACTGATCTTTGAAACAAGAAACGGCATATTTATTTCCACAGGAATCAGAACCACAGGACAGTAAATGTGTCTGACCTTACTGAAATATCACTCCATGCCCAAATCAGTGGGACGTCTTCAACCACACCAACAGGTCAGATCACTCAACTTTGTGATCCAATGTTTTTAGATTTTTTTATATATATATACTTATATACACTCACCGGCCACTTTATTAGGTACCCCATGCTAGTAACGGGTTGGACCCCCTTTTGCCTTCAGAACTGCCTCAATTCTTCGTGGCATAGATTCAACAAGGTGCTGGAAGCATTCCTCAGGGAGTTTGGTCCATATTGACATGATGGCATCACACAGTTGCTGCAGATTTGTCGGCTGCACATCCATGATGGGAATCTCCCGTTCCACCACATCCCAAAGATGCTCTATTGGGTTGAGATCTGGTGACTGTGGAGGCCATTTTAGTACAGTGAACTCATTGTCATGTTCAAGAAACCAATTTGAAATGATTAGAGCTTTGTGACATGGTGGAAGTAGCCATCAGAGGATGGGTACATGGTGGCCATAAAGGGATGGACATGGTCAGAAACAATGCTCAGGTAGGCCGTGGCATTTAAACGATGCCCAATTGGCACTAAGGGGCCTAAAGTGTGCCAGGAAAACATCCCCCACACCATTACACCACCATCACCAGCCTGCACAGTGGTAACAAGGCATGATGGTTCCATGTTCTCATTCTGTTTACGCCAAATTCTGACTCTAACATCTGAATGTCTCAACAGAAATCGAGACTCATCAGACCAGGCAACATTTTTCCAGTCTTCAACTGTTCAATTTTGGTGAGCTCTTGCAAATTGTAGCCTCTTTTTCCTATTTGTAGTGGAGATGAGTGGTACCCGGTGGAGTCTTCTGCTGTTGTAGCCCATCCGCCTCAAGGTTGTGCGTGTTGTGGCTTCACAAATGCTTTGCTGCATACCTCGGTTGTAACGAGTGGTTATTTCAGTCACTGTTGCCCTTCTATCAGCTCGAACCAGTCTGGCCATTCTCCTCTGACCTCTGGCATCAACAAGGCATTTCCGCCCACAGAACTGCCGCTCACTGGATGTTTTTTCTTTTTCGGACCATTCTCTGTAAACCCTAGAGATGGTTGTGCGTGAAAATCCCAGTAGATTAGCAGTTTCTGAAATACTCAGACCAGCCCTTCTGGCACCAACAATCATGCCACGTTCAAAGTCACTCAAATCAACTTTCTTCCCCATACTGATGCTCGGTTTGAACTGCAGGAGATTGTCTTGACCATGTCTACATGCCTAAATGCACTGAGTTGCCGCCATGTGATTGGCTGCTTAGAAATTAAGTGTTAACGAGCAGTTGGACAGGTGTACCTAATAAAGTGGCCGGTGAGTGTATATTGTTATATCAGTTCATGACATTGAAACTGTTTTCCAATCATTTGTTTTGATCTTTATTTACAACAGTATAACAACCCTGTTTTAACAGCCTCATATGCTTTAAAGAGATTGTTTAATGTTGAATGTTAACTCTTGCCAGGTTAAATGACCAAAGCTATTATTTAGATATTCACTGTATTTTGTCACGGTATATTATGCTAATATCGTGTTTAAAGCAAGCACATGAGCAGTTGCCATGGTAAGGAACAATATGATACCTGCTTGTAATAATAAATGAAAATATCCCACATCTGAGTGAGCCTAAAAAACTACAAATTAAATTAGTCTAAAACAACATGTAGAAAAAATATATTGTGCACTGTTGCTGATTTCCCTATGTTCTCTACTCTAACACCACACTGCATGTTTCCTTTATTTTTGGCAGAACTAATCATTGTGTTTGAATTAATAATTTTATTTCCTTTGATTTTTTTATTTTTCAGTCAATTCAGTTTATTTTTTAGTTTAATTTTTAGTTCAAATAGATAATTGTGGAGCAAAAATTACAGCATAGCACCACCTGCCTTCCGGTAATACCGGATTAACCATTTTGAAAGCAAATACCATTCTGGTTTTAAAATTATGATTGAATGACCTTTTAATAGCTGATCCCATCATCATTTAAATTCTTATAATTTTCTTAAAGTTTTAAGATATTATCAGAGTGGGAATAAGAATAAAATGACTCAAAATGAAACCGTCCCAATTACTAATAGTAGTGTCCTCATTAACTCTTTCCCCACTATTGACGGAACTTACCGTCATTTATAAGACACCGTTTCCCCACCATTGACGGAATTTTCCGGCTTTCCGTGTTTTCACTATTATACGGTAGAGGGCGCTATTACACATCTTCTGAAAGAGTACAGAATCTCCTGATCAAAGCACAGGCAAAAAAAAGGAGCAGAAACAAGCAATAAAATCATTGCTTATGCACGTTGTAGTCCGCGATTTTCTCAGCTTTTTTTTTCAAAATGTTGTTTTTTATGAAACTGTGTTCAAGTGTTGATAAAAAAAGAAAGCATGAACCTAGAATAGCTTAATAGTTTTTTTTTGTTGTTGTTGTTTTAAGCAGAGGCTCGGTTCTTTCTTTTAATATATCGAATGTTCATATATTCATACAACAAAATATTCTGGGGGCTATGAAAGTTTTGTGATTCTCAAAAATGCTAGCACTGGCTAGCAACTTTTTTTTTTAAACGCTGGAGGGTATGACAATATCTCTAAAGACCTACTTTTACATGTCGTTAAGTTTACCTGGGAATTTGTTGACTTGCCCAGAGACGATGTTCTCATTGTCATGAAACGAGACACCGTGCCAGTAGATATCACAGGCTGTCCGCCTACCTATCGGAAACTGCAGGATCAAAAGAAAGAAGAGAATTGAGGCAAAGTACAGGAGGAGAACTATCAATCACAACACAATAAACATGTCATACCCTACTTTTGACAAGGATACAAAAAACAATACATTTACGACTAACTACCAAAATAACAACAGCTCAGTTCTGCAGGAGTCTTTTTTCAATAATTATTTTAGTAAACAACTTTAGTAAAAAATACTTCTACAACAGCAACAGTGTCAGTTACAGAGGCATTGTTTAGATATGTGCCATCATTAATTTACAGCTAAGGTGAAAATGCATTGCAGCTCATGTGGTCAGACCACTGGTTCAGATTTTGGTCCATTAAGGCCCGTTCACACCAAGAACGATAACTATAAAGATAACTATATTAGCGTCCACACCAGCAGACGATATCACTCTGTTTATTCTAAGCATGTGCTTGTCTGTCACTTTAAATTCTCGAGCTCATTGTAGCAGGATTGATTCTGATTGGCTGTCAGTGTTTTTATCATTCATCAGCTGGATAAAATTGTTCTAAAAGTGATTCCAAATATATCATTTCTCTGTGCTGTTATCATTATAGCTGTGGTGTGAACTGCTATTCTTTAATATTGAGAATGATTTTTAGAACTATATCTTTATTGTTATCGTCCTTGGTGTGAACGGGCCTTTACACTGATCACGTTTCTGAGACCCTGTATATGTGACTAGGCTACAGTGTGTGCGGAGCGTGATGCAGATCAAGGACACTAATCAGGATGCAGGTAGTGTGCTTAGTATAGGCTAGGTTACCTGTCTTGAGCTGTATTCTGGGGGGATTATGTCACTGTTTAACAGGCTAATGGAGTGTGAGGAGGTGTTCCTATATTGGTCACCTGGTGCACAGAGGAAACCTGAAATCTGTGATCAGATTAGGAGTTCCCACAGGTTTACAGGTATACAGTTGTGAAAATATCCCCACTAGTGCTGCCACTATATATTTTTCTGTAATTAATCATGATTAATAGCACCCAACATTAAAATATGTAATATTTCATATTGTAATACATATTTTCACACTGAATCTCTTAAATTAATCTCTTTACATTAATATAAAAACAACATAAAGATGTTAATTTGTTTAATGGCATATTTTTACTAAGTACTATGAAGGCCGTATCACTGAATGCTGTTACTGAGGATGAAATGAGTAATTATAGCCATTTAACAGTTTAATTGAAAGCCATACTTTTAGCATTTAACAGGCTAAATATTATAATAACTTTAAAAGTTTTATTTTCACATAATCTTCACATAAACCCATCATAATAAACAACACATTTAACTGTGCCTTAGTGTGTTGTAATAAGTGACCGATACACTTATTACAACACACTAAGACACAGTTAAATGTGTTGTAATAAGTGTATCGGTCAATATCAGCTCTCATTCAAATAGAGATCAGTTCATTATTTCTCCACCAAGATAAGAAGAAAATCACTAGTTGTAAAATCCGGTATCAATATTTTTATGTGAGGATCGATCCTCTCGAAACAACGTCAGCATTGCAAGTACTATCCACAATTAAACCTGATTTTCTTAATCATTGGCTGTGTCCGAAATCTCCCACTCCTCACTATATAGTGGACTAAATAGTAAGCTCGCCATTTTGTAGTGCTGTCCGAATGTATAGTGATGATTATTATACCCTATATAGTCCACTCAATGTATCCCAGAATGCATTTTGAAAAGTAGTGTACAACCGATGGTCACTAACCCAAGCCCTACATACCATCATGCATTGCGCTGATCGTAAAAGACCTATCAGCATCATCTTGAAAATGAAAATATATTAAATATGTGTATTAATTTTATTTATGTTTATAAGTTATAATCATGTGCGGAGTAACGCATTATAACAGAAACGGCCAGAAATGACTTTTAATTTGACAATTTTGGAGAAATAAGCTCAATATAATGTAATGTATTTATAAAAAAAAAAAAATCTATTTAGCCCAGAGCTGGCTCGGCACCAGCTGACAGATGATGGCGCGTTTAATCAACGGCGCCGAGAGACGATCGAGTAGTGTTCAAAAGTGGTGTTTCTATTATGCTGGTGAGCTCACTATATAGTGCTCTACTCCCTACCCCCTACATAGGGGTTAGGGAGTAGTGGTTTGATTGGAGATTTCGGACACAGCCATTGAGACACTGACAGGATCAAAACGGGCAGCCAGACAGAGCTTGAAACACTCCCAAAGAGAAGCACAAGGTGAACACGGCTGATCACATGCGGACCATGCTCAGTCGCTGTCTCTCTCCAACATATGTATGTGTGTGTGTGTGTTCAAAAACACAGACATTACAGGCCGGACCAGAACAATTAACAAGTGACCTTTACTCACTCCAGTTGCTTTAATCTGAAGTACAGCAGTTTTGTGCAGCACTAATGCCCACATGTGACTTTGATAGATCACTGCATGAAACTGACATAAACGAAAATGGTCTCCATTCCTTTTTCCTCTTGAAACACAATGTTTGTTTTTTTTACTTCTTGCATTATGTTTTAATAAATAGTGAGGCAGTTAAAACTGAACTGGGCAGTTCAACTAGATATGCCTTCTTTGGATTAATATTGACACATCTGTCAGATTTAGTGACCACCAGCACTTATTGTTAGTGACTGCACTAATGGCTAGTTCTTAATTATCTTTATTAAGACTGATTTCAGAATTTCACACAAAAAAAAAAAAATTCTGTCAAAATATTAGCATGTTAGCTTTGTTTGATAAATTAGTTTGATGCATCATGATGTATTGCTCCCAGTAGGGTTAGCAAAGACTCTAACGCTCTGTCAGAGTTGCAGTGGAGCAGGTCAGGAAATGGGGACATGCCTTTTCAATCCAATCACTTTTAGCCTTAACTAAATTAAGTTACTTGGAATTGTTTAGCAAAGACACGTGAAACTGTCACGAAACAATGAGAATAAAACTTGTGTGCCAAAATCTTCCAAACTTAGAGAAATTTTTTTTTTAATTCAACCTACACTATATCATCAATGCATTTCATTAATCAGAACTGTCCATTCGAAAAGCACTTTCCTCATTCCTCACTAAGGGAGTTTTAACGTTTTATTTCCATCGATCGATCGATCAATCGACAGACAGACAGACAGACAGACAGACAGACAGACAGACAGACAGACAGACAGACAGACAGACAGATAGATAGATAGATAGATAGATAGATAGATAGATAGATAGATAGATAGATAGATAGATAGATAGATAGATAGATAGATAGATAGATAGATAGATAGATAGATAGATAGATAGATAGATAGATAGATTTGCTGCTCAAGATTTTTTCAGGATTCTTTGATGAATAGAAAGTGCAAAAGAACAGCATTTGTTATATAATACATAAATATAATCTTTTGTAACATTATAAATGTCTTTACTGTCACTTTTGATCAATTTAACGCATCCTTACTGACCCAAAACTTTTGAATGGTAGTGTATAAGCTTTCTATTTAACATAAATGCTGTTCTTTTGAACTTTCTATTCATCAAAGAATCCTGGGGGGGGGGAACGTGCACAACTGTTATTAACATTGATAATAATACATGTTACTTGAGCATCAAATCAGCATATTAGAATGATTTTTGAAGAATCATGTGACACTGAAGACACATATATCATACATATACATGCATCAACTGTAAGTAACTTTCAAGAAGATGTCAACTTATTCTACTAACCCTAATCCTATACCCTCAGTATACTAATACTCTAATGACAGTTGGTTGACATGTAGTTGCAAATTTATTAGAGTTAGTTGACATAGTTGCAAAGTTGCTTAGTTGGTAGATTGTCTAAAAGTGTGCTATCAAAATAAAGTGTCACCCTTTATGATATTTACAACACTACCAGTTAATAAGTCAAAATCTGCTTAATAATGGAACAACAGTTTTAAAAACAGTTTTTTCACTATTATTCACAAACAGGATCTGCATTTTTCCTGGAACACCCAAACTACCTACAGATGTTTTGAACGAGTCATGTCATCGCTTTTCGAGAAGAGGGTGAAAATGCCGGCCTGAGCGGCTTCAACATGCTGTCTATCAGAGACATAACGCACGCGAGTATTTTGGTTACACTTTATTTGAGGTGACTTGGTTACATTGTACTCACTCAAATAAGTACTGAGTAATATTAATGAACTACATGCACTTACTATAGAGTTACGATTAGGGTTTGGTTTAGACTCAACCGCTTACAGTTTATATCATACTTTGTCTCTCACTGCCACAATTGATCTTTGGATCTATGTTTCTAAATAACTTCAAGAAATGATAGTCTTCAAAACTTTTCAAACCTGCAGGAGGGAACTCCTCCTGCCCTTGAATCAGCCTTTGTTGTAGCAGACAGGATAAAAGGTATAATGGATACGCTTAAACTTGAAACCGACCTTTAACAAGGCAGCTTTGAATTACAAAGACTCATAATATTCCAGTGGAGTTGAGTAGAATGGGGTGTAGACATTCATTCAGCAGGACCGTTCACTACCTCCAGCCTGCCAGGTGTTGTGCACCACACAGAACTTCATGCATGGTATAGTTTGACAGCTTATCAATGTATTTATGAGCATTTCTTTTTTTAATGCAGTGACTTCACACAAACGGTCGAGTGTAACCAAATACGGGTGTTCGTCAAGTGTGGAAGGACAAGGTTAAAGACTGGTAATGTCTGTTGAAATATATAGCCTACAGGCCATGAGTAAGTGTTTGATTACATTGTGGGAGCCTAAACAAACTGCAGATACGTCCAATGGATTCATCTAGTATATTTATAAAAATATTATGAAACACAGAATAACAGATACATTAAAAAGTATAGCAATTCCAGGCAGAATTGTTTACCTTTGAAATATTTGGAACAGTGAGATCTTTCAGTGACAAATTAAGACTTGAATACACTACACGACTGATCAGGCTCCAAACAATAGGCATCATACAATTGCAGACTTTGAAAACAGTTACAGAGGAAAAACTGCCATCATACATTAAAAGACTGAAGATCACACACTACAAGTCTTATAAGTCGTTCCAAATACAACAAAATTATACAGAAACATGTGCCATGTTGCTAGAAGACACAGAGCAAATTAAGCAATATGTGTTTTAAAATTGGCTCAAAATATTAGATTAGTCTGTGATACTAGATTAGTCTGTGCCCATCATACACTAGCCAATCAATGCAAAAGTTGTGTAGTGTATTTCAGCCTTGTAGGTCATCATTTGAATAAAAGAAGGGCAAATGAAAGATCTATACTTCCTGCAGTAAGTCTATTAAGGGTCTTGAGGGGTGAGCTTATGGTGACATCAGGGATAACTGTAGGATTAAAACTGATACTAGTTTTATATTGCAGCAGTTAAGCTTCTGTACAGGTAGTGTTGCATCCACTGGTTCTTACATTTTATGACCAATATATAGCTAGACTGATTTGCTAAGGAATCAATCAAATAAATGTTTGAATTGGTTTGACTTTTGACTGATGCATTCAGTAGTACTCAAATTAGAAATCACTTTGTCTTACGGGTTTTGAAAGAAATACCAAGACAATTAAATATTTTAGACTCAAAAACATAACTCAAAAATATACATTCGTTATAGTAATGTACTTAAGAATTTATAACATTTCTATAACTTTTAACCAAGCCTGAAAAATAAAATTTTAAGACAGTACACATTTCTTAACCAGACGTTATGTTCTAACAATCATTAAAAAAAAATGTGTTCAACATAAATTACACAGTCAGACCTAAAACTTTAACGTTTTTATTATTATTATTATTATTATTATCATTAAAAAGACTACAATTGCCTGATTTGTTAAGCACATTAACTCACATCCTTGTGGTTCTAGTCCTTATTCATCAACTTGTTGTATAATGTGTTCTAGAACAAAACGTGAAAGTCTCTTCTAATAAAGTTAAAGACAGACCTTATTTTACTGATAAATCAAAAACTGATGTTTAAAACCCCAGGAAGGAAATTCCTCAGGGAACCAACAACTGGTTCAAAAGTACTAATTGTTTCCGGGTTTTATAACTACAAACTGAACAGCTCTATTGATTGATAGTTAAAAGGTGACATATTATGCCCCCTTTCACAAGATGTAATATAAATCTATGGTGTCCCCAGAATGTGTCTGTGAAATTTCAGCTCAAAATACCGCCCAGATCATTTATTAATAGCTTGTCAAATTTGCTCCTTTTTGGGTGTGAGCAAAAATGCGCCATTTTTGTGTGTCCCTTTAAATGCAAATTAGGGCTGTCACTTTTTATTCGCTATTCGAATATGCATTCGAACATGACGTGAAATATCCGTAATCGAACTATAAATAAACTAACCGGTTTTTAAAATGCCATGTTTAGCGCATTTTTTACAGTCTATGATTTAGACCGTTTGTTTTTTATTTTATTGTTTGCCATCTCATCCAGTAGCTGGCACTCTAAACGTATTGTAGCGTAAGCTCATGACCAAATCAAGCGAATAATAGCCAATAGCCACCCTGTTTTGAAAATGGAAGATATAACGCGCAGAACGGCCAGCCTGAGCGGACAATTTCTACCCCAACTCATCTAAAAAGTAGTGTCTGGAAATGGACAATCGATTGATGAATCCGAACACGGTGTTTACATGAACGATACATAAAGTAATGTGCGCGTTATATGTCACAAGATTCAAATCGGAATTGATTTTTTTGACATGCGCACTGCACGAATATGCCGCTGTTCGCGCATAACTATTCTCCTCTATCGGTTCTTTATTTGTTTTAAACAGCAGACTTAATATTTATCCGTCTCTGGTCATGATTTGGAGACGATAAGCATGATTTGCCGTGCTGCTTGTTGATCACGCAGTAAAACCCCGCGCCCAAAACCAGTCGTCTGTGGATTAGAATCTGAAACAAGCACTGGTGGGACGTTGTCCTGCTTAACTTCACAGTGAAATGAGATTTTTTTAATAACGGAACACTCATTTATATGACACTTTATTCAACAGGAAGAACAGCTCGCTCCGTGCGTAAAACGTCATTGCACATGCGCAGTCCTTTTAGTTTCGGTTTTCAATCCGATGAAGTGTTTACATGTTCTCTCGATCGGATTACAAAAGGAGTAAACCATCGGATCGATTAAGGTGTTTACATGAAGGTTTTTTAGTCCGATTGAGCCGTCAATCCGATTATAAGGGTCCATGCAAAGACGCGCAAATGTGTGCCAGGCACGTGTGCGCGCTCCGAGCGCGTGTTCTCCACCGCGGAGAACATCGTCAATAAAAGGAGAGCCGCACTTGATCCAGATCAAGTTGATAAATTGGTGTTTCTAGCAAACAATATTAGGAAATGAATTAGGCTAGGCTATATAGGCCTTACTCCTGCTGCTGTTTAAGTTGTCACGTTATTGTTTGTGCCGTGCTGTTCCGCTTCAGTTTTTCCCCATGTAGCGCCTAATTTTGTGATTGGCTATGCATACTGGCACTTCATATAGATTAAGTTGAAAACCTGCTGTTTAAAACATTAAGTCAAAAAAAAAAATTTCAGACAGGCCTGAGTCCTGTTTATGACTGTCAGACTGTTAATAAATGTGTGATCTCCTTTACGGTGGGTTTTTTTTTTTTTTTTTTTTTGGGTGGGTGGGCGGGGCTCGTAGATATTCGAATATATTCGAATACATTGCTTGATATTCGATATCCGTTCGAATTTGATTTTTCTCAAAAGTGACAGCCCTAATGCAAATGAGCTGCTGCTCCCTGCCTCCGTTCAGAAGAGAGCCGATTTACACGAGCTTCAGATACTCCGGTGTTGTGCCGAATTCTGACCCCCGCCAAATTATTACCTCCTAGTTTTGGTAGGATTAGGATTAGTTGTGGGGGAGGGGTTAGGGTTGGAGGAGGGGTTAGGATTAGGGGTGGGGTTAGGATTAGGCAATCAGGTACTGACTTCAACAAGGGGGTAATAATTTGGCAGGGAGTCGAAATTCAGCACAACACCGGCAATAACAAAACACATGAATAATCTCACTCAAAATCTCAGAAATAACTAGCGGAGTGCAGCCTTATGGAGTGACTCAGGAAGAGGTTGCAACTTTTAGACAGAGACTGCACCTGAACGTTTCTGAATGGTTAGTGGACTGGATACATGTAGTTGCTGTGGAGTTACACTGATTTATCTCACCGACTTGCATGTACCATCATGTTTAACTTTTACACAAGTTGACACAGTTCCCTGAGGTCCTTATAAGACACATGTGACATTTTTTGGTCAAAATACCACAAGGATGAACTTGAAGCCTGAGCGAGAGATGGCAGGCTTTGCTCGAACTTTTGCCATTGCATTAGAACTGGTTACACTGTTGTCACTTGCGAAAACCAAATGGCGGCACAGTGGGTGGAAACGTGCAGATTAAGGGGCGGTAATATTATAATAAGATCCCCTTCCTACGTCAGAAGGGGAGCGAAATCTGATTGGCTTATTTTTTGACATGCTTGCAGAGAAAGGCTTACCAAAACAAAGTTACTTTTCCAATTTACCAAAACCTTTTCTACAAAGGTTGTCACTTTTCACATTTTCTGGGTTGGTAGGCTATGCACTGGGGACCCGATTATGCACTTAAACACGGAAAAATCAGATTTTCATGATGTCCCCTTTAAAATCCGCTAAGTCAAGCCAGGCTACTTTAAAATTAATGGAATAAATAATTAATTTTTAAAAACCCAAATCCAAGAATTTCCTTATCAATGGTTGGTGGCATACTATAAAATCTAAATAAAAAGTAAGTCAAAGTTTGTCAGGCGTCAGAAGAACATATGGGGTGCTCTCACCTCTTTCCACTTCAGCTGTCTGATGCTCATTTTCAGCGCTTCGAGCGACGTCTTCGCTTTGGAGGTGTCCACCGTCACAGCTCTCCTCTTTTTGGCCACCTTGCTCCCGTCCTCTTTCCCATGGTGCTCACATTTCCCTTCTGTCTGTCTCTGGCATGACTCAACGTGACCGTTTGCCGCAGTTTTGCCCTTTAAAAGACTTAACGTACCTTTAATGTTTTGCTCGTTGCTCGCACGGCTATGTCCTTTTTCCTGTGAATAGTCTGACTTCTGTGGCGTCAGATCTGACATTAGTTTGCCGTTCACCTGTCTCTCTTGACCGTCAGCTTTGCTCCTACTTTTACTCCGACTTCTCCCATTGCCGCTACTTCTGGAGAGGTCTCTCCGAGCCGCGAAGGAGGCGTCAGCGGGGACTGAAGACACTGAGGCCGGGGACAGCTGCTCTTCGTCGGCCGCGGCCTCGCTCTCCACCGCATTCATCTGCTGGAGCTCAATCTTCACTCTCTCATAGTGATCGCTCATAGTGTTCATTAATGGTCGGATGGTTTGTTATCTCATTTAGGTTGGTGAATATGTCAGGATAATCTACTAGCATAAGGTGCTAACATGGACCAGCTGGTGCTGCCCAAACTAAAGCACAAAAATAGAAAACCAGTCTATAAAACAGTCAACTATGGAGCCTGATAAACTAGCGTAAATACACACGGACACGGCCACCATTATTACAGTCTGAACATTATAAAGACCGTATTAGCTCTGACAGATAGCACATCACTACAGTGTGCTGAATGTTTTGATGGCGATCTAACGGGACAGGAGTGGCTCCATGCACAAGAGCTGTCCAGTTTCCTTTAACTGGGGAAAATAGGCTCTTGACTGCAGTAACACTAAACGCTGCATATAAATGCAATTGTACTTAATTCATCCCATTCTATATAAAATACTCAACTAACAGCACATATTGGGGGATATATATGGGGAAGACTAGCGCAGGGCATAGCTGGGCGCATCACCGCATTCCCCCTGTCAGTTTCGTTCAGTTTTAAAGTGCCGATGAGCACCGACTGCTCTCGCGCTTTTAAACAGTCGCCGTATATCCAAATAAAAACATCGCGTGCATTCCGTTTATCTGCTGTTTGCTAAGACGTGGCAGGGTTAATGCAGCCGGACAGGTGAGATGTCAGCTGATGGCCAACGAACTGACCAGAAGTAAAGCTCCAGTGAGCTGTCGCTGCCGGGTCGCTGCTTGTGTTTTGGTCCTGTTGACAACGTAACGCAACTGACGGAAGCCGTCTAGGCACAAGGCAGCAACATATTGCACTGGTTCGTTCTATTCGCGAAGCGAAAATTCCATTCTAGCCATTACCGCCTAACAATAAAAATGGAAATAAATACAAAAAGTAGCCTACATGATTTTCAACATATATATATTTATAGTATTTTGTCCTTGTTATAATGTACTTTTTAAAATTGCCTCTTTTTCATGTTCATGATTTTATCAGACAATCATATGTCAATACGTCAATATGTGTTGCAATGAATGGGAAACATACAAAAACGTGACATACAAAATCTCAGTATCTGATATCTATCCTAGTCTTCTATCTTAAATCCCATAATGGCCACATTGTGCCTCTGTGATGCAGCAGAGGGAGCACTTGTGTAATTATTGAAACACAAAGCTGTCAAACTTTTCTCTCACACTCTCGCTTGCACTTTATACGTGAACTTTCAATGTACTTAGAGTGTACTACCCACAAAAATGCAAGGAGTGTAAGGTTTAAGAGTAATGTAAGGCTTAAGTTAAGGCTTAGGGGTAGGTTCAGGGTTAGTACCTTGTCATCACAATACAGTATGTTCATGCGAAACAGGACTGTAAAATAAAGTGCTACTACACTCTCTCTGTAATGTTTTGCAGAATCCAGTGACTTGAAAACAGACTCTTTGAGACAGATGCATGATGAGAGATAAAGACAGGATAAGTGCATGTTGCAAGACCACATCAGCAGACCAGCAAACTTACTGTCAGGGACTTTAAACGCCTTTCAATAATAACAATAATAAGTTTGCATGTATTGTGAAGATGGGGGCTAGTTGTGCTATTTATCTTACAGGAAGTTGTCACAAGGGCTATAATAACACAGTAAATATAAGTTGTGTGTGTATGTGTGTGTGTGTGTGGGGGGGGGGGGGGGGTAAAGGGGGTAAAAATGCAGAAAGTTGGGTATGGGTTAGGGGTATAGGGTTAGTGTAAGAGGATAGAATACAGTTACAGTATAAAATCCTTATGTCAATGGAAAGTCCCCATAAAACACTGGGAAAACCCAATGTGTGTGCGTGTGCGTGCGTGCATGCGTGTGTGTGTGTGTGTGTGTGTGTGTGTGTGTGAACAGACTCATAGACTTTGTGTTTGAACTGTTGAACTGTGCTCCAAGGTCACTTTATTAATTACTATATGTAGTTGACAAAACGCTAATTACATACAACCCCATTTCCAGATTATTTGGGTCATTTTGTAAAATGCAATAAAATCAAGAATCACAGATTCTTGATTTTATTCTTGCTTTTGATACAAGACAGCTGCTCAACAGTCTGTGTATCACTGTCCGGTTCTCCTTTTCATGATGGGTCATACATTTTCAATAAGTGACAGATATGGACTGCAGGCAGGTATCAGGCACATCTCTTGTCTTGGTAAGTGTCTAGAAACCACTCAGTTTTAGCATGAGGCCTGCCATTGTCTTGCTTCCCAGGAAAGATGGCAGTTTATGTCTCTGTACAATCCAAATGTATGCCACTATGTCAGTGATGCCTTCACACAAATGCAAGTCACCCATACCGCTTGCACTGATGCACCCCAATACCAGGACAGATGTTTGCTGATGAAAGTCTGGTTGGTCCCTTCATCTTTGGGACTGAGAACTTGATGTCTGTTTTTCCCCAAAACAAGCTGAAACATGGACTCATCAGACCACAGCACACATTTCCTTTGTCTTCTAGACCATCTGAGATGAGCTCGGGCCCAGAGAGCTTGACAGCATCTCTGCATAGAACTGATGTAGGCCTATAGCTTTCTCCTTGCAGAGATTCAACTGGCATACTGTTAAGTGAAAATGTTTTTCTAAAGTACTCCTGAGCACATGTGGCTGCATGATGGTTTCTCATGCAATGCCACCTGAGGACTCGAAGGTCACGCACATTCAACAGAGGTATCCTGCCTTGCCCTACACAGACTGAGATTTCTCTGGATTCCCTGAATCTTTTCACAATATGTGAGCTAGACGGTGAAAGACATACATTCTTTGCAATCTTGCATTGAGAAATTTTGAATTGTTTGACAATTCTCTCATGATATTTGGCACAAAGTGGTGAGCCATGACCCATCTTTGCTTGCAAAGACTGAGAAGCTCCTTTTTCACCCAAACATGATACCCGGCCTCACCTATTACTGTTTCAAATGAGTTGGGTAATCTAACCTTTATAATCTTTTCACTTTTAATTTTGCCTCTGTCCCAACCTTTTTGTAGTGTGTTGCAGCCATCAATATCAAAATGTGTTTATATTTACAAAATACAATTATCAGTGAAAACTTTTGTTTGTACTTTTCTCAGTTAAAAAAAGGTTCAAGAGATTAACAAATCTCAGATTGTGAATTGTATTGCATTTTACAAAATGTCACAACTTTTCTGGAAATGGGGTTGTAATTAACAACATTTATTCATTTGTTTGTTTGTTTGTTTGAACAGCAGCATGACATTTCATTGGCAAGAATGGTGCAAATGTTTAATAGCTTTTTTGTAGTTGAAAATCTATGTCAAATTGACCTGTTCTGAGAAATACAGTCTCTCCTGTATAGCCTCTCCAGTAAAACTCTCCACTAGTTCTGGGGTTAAAGGTAGATTATAGACAATTTCTGAGATGTTAGCAATAGCAAGCCTCAAAGCATACTATAAAATCTCAATAATAATGAACGTATAGCAGCCTAGATCTCTGACTTTGTACCACCTGACTGCTGCAGATTCATTTCGGCGTTGATAGTGTTGCCATAGAAATGCATAATTCAGAGTCTGTGAACAGCTGGAAGTACGAACATCACCTGTTGCCATCTATTAATAATGGTAATTACATCAGCATGCTAAAGCAGCATAAGCTCGTTCTTTTGGTTCAGGAGGAACTGTAAAGGTGGCTGCTGTTTGTTTGCAGCACTCGTGACTATCTGTCTACAACTCTGCGTAGCCTTGCGGAACGTGCTGATGACGTGGGATGTCTGTGTGAGCAGGGTGCGTGGAATATATACATATGGAATATATACATAAATATATATATATATATAGACAAGTAGGACATCCATTGCATTTGGACTGAATGCAATGATTGGACGAACATTTTTTGATCCTGAGTCTTCCAAAAAAGATATACAATATGCAATTTTGTAGTTAATATTTAGACCACTTCTAGTATTGATTGCTATCAGGATGTGAAGAGAGTTTAAACAGTATAACAAAAAGTTTTTATGAAAAACATTGCATTTACCTTTAAATCTCGGTCAATTCAGTCTGGTCAGACCCAGATCTCTTCGCTGTGGAGCAAAAAAGCCAATTTAATAGAACCTGTTCTGTTCTGAATCTGTTTTCAAAGCTGCAGAATCTATACACGACTTGCATATTAAAATATCAAAAACTTGTAGCTAGGTAGTCCACCAAAATCCAGGACTAATTGTTGATGTTTTAACCTAGGCCTATATGAGAACTTTTAAATAGCCTATAGGCTATTAGAACTGGTTGTGTTCTGTTGAAATTCATCAATGATGAACTATAAGGAAGTGCGCTTTTATTATGCTAAATGTGGTGTTTGAAAGACTTGAATGCTGTTGTTCAGCAGACGGAACTTTGCTCCATGAGAATTGCATCAGAGGTAGAAGAGAGCAACGCAAATAAAGCATGTCATTAGGACACGAGGCGTGCAGAATTCACCCATAGCACATATTTTAATAAACTTCCTCGCTGAGGCACTTCAACAACTTGAGCCGAAGCCAGACTTGTATAAACGCAGCTGATGTCTGAGGGCTGAGAGGGGGATAGAGGCGCCCAACCCATTTCTTTTGTGCTGAAGAGCCTGTGATTTCATTGAGCTTTTCCCGGGCTGCTACTATAATGGGCTCCCTCGCTTTGAATCGCTCTTGTATCGGCGACCTCTTTTTTGTGGTTGAACTAGAGCTATCTTTTTTTAGTTGGCAGTAGTTCTGAAGCTTGGGGACTGGCAGAAGAAATTTCTCGCCGAGCATCCGGACGGGACCCAATGAAAATGCACGGGAGAAACAGGTACAACCTGGTGGACGATGTGGCGGATTCGCGAGTACCGCTTCACAACGAGGAAGCGTATCAACACGGAATACACTTCCAAGCCAAGGTGAAACTGACTATCTCCACTTAAACGTAGCCATTTACATTGTTAGTTACTATTTACCGATACTTTTGTGTTGTCGTGTAGGCTACGTCAAATGGGTCACTGCTGTGTGGGGTAATTTACACATCAGACAATCATGATGATCATGTTTTGGGCAGACTCCCGGCTGCGCGAAAACAAGTGAAAATGCCACCGAATAGACGTTTGGATATGTAGCCTAATAAATAAGTAGTCTAGCCTATGTCCGAGAGAAAAAAAAAGGAGAAATACTTTATAAATCGAGTTTAAAACACACGTGCCAAGAAATGTAGTATATTATTTTTTTTAAAGAAATATTTAAATATATAAATATATATTAAATATAGCTAGAATGGTTATAATAAGGTTATAATATTTTCATCACAAATATTTTGAAATTAATTTTTTTAACGGTACCCATTTAAGAGCATTTTTATAAAAAGGTAAGATATTTAAAATATTTAATATTTAAAAAACCTCACTATTTAATTATTTCTTGTTATGACAACCATGTTTTCTGCATGTTGGTTGCGCCATGCTGAATTTGGATAATTTTCGAAAACAACATTGGTTAACTGATATTTTCCCCTTCTTTTTTAGTGATAAAAATAGCTGAACTAGGCTACTTAAGCTACCGTTTCACTCCCCCCAAGCCAGCCTTTTTTTAAAAATAAAAAAATAATCAAATTTACTTTTAATTCAGAATCTGGAAACATTTTCACCATGCCTTTTAATGTATTTTTTATTAACTTCATAGATCCAGACAAGAAATGCCACTGACCCATATGCAGACAGTTTTTTCACCGACACTATTTTTGGTGTCTGGCTCAACTTTCCCATTAATGGCTGCACGGCTGGTTACACTGGTACTTTAACTGAGCCGAGATGTCTTTAAAACTCTGGAGGGTATTTAGTTTCTTCAGAAGCTGTGGTTAGATCTGACTTTGACATTGAATCATTAACATTTCATTTAATAAACCCCTACTTGGCTGTGTCTCAAAAACATATTGAGCTGCCTTGGTATAGCTTGACATTGAACATCAATTTCCAAGGTTTTGGGACAGTAAGTGTATTTTTTCCACAAAAAGCAACAAACAGCTGCTAGATTTTTGAACCCTATGCTGTAATACATTTCATTACATGAAATCTTACTATAAACCATTTAGGATTGTAAATTGGTTTTATTTATTGCCTATTCATATACACCAACCAGTGTCATGTTTGCCATACTCGCAGCATTTCTGACTTCCCTGCTTATGACCACTTGATAAATATTTAAGTTCTGCCCATTAATGAAAGCCAGCACATGCTTTAATGTTATATGTTATGTTATAATGTTATACTGGTGTTTTCCTATAGAGCTTATCTGCAAATATATAGTTTCAAATCTGCAGACTGTTAAATGTCCCAGGAAACCTAAAGTCTTTGTATACTGAGCTACTCAAAGCCTATTGCTGAGTAATTTTAGCTCCAATTAGTAATGCAGGATTATCTTCCAGGAATTTTATTGGCTGGAAAGCCAAGACCTAGAACCACTCACATTCGAAATCACACATTCTGACTGCAGTATTGCGGTCTTGTCTTTCAGAGCTTAAATCAGCTTGTTGCTATTTTTGCTGAACTGTTGTCAGTATTGTTGTCCCTCTCAGCTGGATTTAGACTTTGGAAGCTGGAGATAAGTATTTAAGGTCAACATCTCCGTAGAACAGGTCATTAAGAACACGATGTTGTTTGTAAACACAGATCCTATACTTGGTTAAGTGTGTTATTTGCGGCTGGCACTGATCTACACTTCACATTTACAAATATATAATGTTGGGTCTTGCCCTCATTATTTTGTGACCCTGAGTCCCTGATTTTCTTTTAGATTGTGTATGCAAATAATCAAACTTGAGGCATTATACATTTGCAGATTTTGCACAGGCATATTTTTAGTATGTCTTTTGAATAATTTAGCATATTGATGTTGCCTATGCAGTTCTAATATTGATACATTTTTTATTTGATTTTAAAGATTTTTTTTTGTAACAACTTTGGTATGGTCACCACTTATCTATATGTGGGTCTTGAAGCAAAATCAGTTGAGAACGATTTAATTTCGATCGATGCATTTAAGCATAAATAGACTTTGAGAAATGAGGCTGGCAATGTCCTGCCGATGCAAAAGTAACTTTGCACTCATTAACCTAGAAAGTGTGTTTATGTGTGTTTGTGCAAATGAAGCTGCCTCATTAATTTTAGGCCGGTCTATTCCTCTGTTGCATTTAATATCAGAGTTTAAACAGAACACTCTTCATCTAACATTCAAGCATGTTTTTTTTTTCAGTATGTTGGCAGCCTGGATGTCCCAAGACCCAACAGTCGCATGGAGATTGTTGCTGCTATGAGAAGAATCAGGGTAAGTCTTTCAGACACTTTCTCTCACAGACACAGACTCTTAAGTGCTGAGTAATCACTGCTGATTGGCCCACAGCAGCTGTTTTCTCAGACACGTCTTTTGCAGTGTAAGACTCATTAGCTAGGGAAAAAAACAGTCTGTTCCTCTATATTTATCTCATACTCTGCAGAGTCTGTGTGTGCTTAGTTTAGGGTGTGTACTGATAGTATTTTTGCACCTGAGGTTTCATATTTCATTCCCTGCACATTGATAAAAGAGAGATCACACACACAGACTAACAGAGACTGGGCCATAGAAAGTCTTGTTATTTCCCATGAGTGATCTCTGCGGGGTCTACAGCTAACGGAAATTGGAGATGACTGCCTTTATTTTGGTTGATTGGTCAGTTTGTGTGTGTGTGTGTGCTAGTTTTCTATATGTACTTGCCTTGTACTCACACTGAACCTTGTAATTCAGACTGAAGGCCATTTCTAAGACAAATTAAGTTGGATTTGTGGCTTGATGACAGAGAGCAGGAATTTGTGCATGTGCATGACTTGTTACCTTTAGAGCTTGTGACAGGCCTGGAGATCAAAGTGCTTCAGCTCCATTTTCATAAACCTTTCTATCCTGCTTATATGTATTAGTCTCTCTTCTCTTCTCTTCTCTTCTCTTCTCTTCTCTTCTCTTCTCTTCTCTTCTCTTCTCTTCTCTTCTCTTCTCTTCTCTTCTCTTCTCTTCTCTTCTCTTCTCTTCTCTTCTCTTCTCTTCTCTTCTCTTCTCTTCTCTTCTCTGGTTATAGTTAGAGTTAATCACAAACTCTGGATCAAACCCTGAGTTGACAGAGTTGACGTTTAATCGTTGTGAGAACCTGATCTAAACCAGGTTGGATTTGTATGGTTTTGTCATCTCTAAACGTACTCTGAAACTCATGCTTCTAGCTTCATGCATCAGGCTTTAGGGATTATGGACTTGATTGTGGGTGTAGAAAAGTGAGAGAAAGCTTATCCTTCTAGACAGGACCCAGTGATAGAGTTGTTCTGGACTTTTTAGGGGAATGTCAGTGTCAGTTTGTTTAATGTGTTTCACATGCTGACAATTTCTGGGTTAGCGGGTTTCCTTCAGAGACAAATCTAGAATTCATGCCTTTGTTGTGTGGAATTCTGCTGAAAACAACAGTAAATAATTCGTACTGACCTTCTTATACAGCCTATTTCTTTCTCTTTTCTCTCTGTAACATTTTTCCCCCTTATTAACAAGGAAATGAGCTTTCATAAATATCATTGGATGATGTTTTGTGTGACAAATCAGACCTTTAAATCAAGCCCTGATGAGCAGCTTTCCTTGCACACCTGCTGTGAATGTGTGTTCATGAAACCACAAAGTAATACTAAAAAATAGCTTATTTTATGCAATGGAGAAGTTTTCCATGACGGGGCTTAATATAAGCATGCCTGAATGAATAGTTGTTACAGCTCAAGGTTGTGTTGAGAGTTTTTGTGTTTTATTTAATGTGATGATACCGGTACCCGCTGATAGCCAGTTGCTTTAAAATGCTCCCGTGAGTGTTTGTGTTTGGGCTCTGTGGAGAGCGTCAAAGGTTTCTATTTACAACATGTTTTTGTAGCGTTGAGATTTGTAGCCAATCACAGACATAGGCTATCTGTTGAACGTCTGAACCGAATGGCCAATCAGAGGTGTTTAAGTTTTTGTTCAGCGGGTGTTTTCTATTCCCGCAAATCTTTTCATTATAACCAACAAAGCATAAACATAATGTCAAAAGAAATTCATTGCAAAACGCAGAAAGCTTCATTGAGTATAACAGGAGTTTTCAAAAGAGTGCAGCTTCAGTGATAATAATGGCAGTGATCTTTGCTTGCTTTCTGCATATAGGCTAATATACATTTTTCATGCTGCTAACAACAAATTGCAGTTTCTGGATTGAGAACTGTATTTAAATGCGCAGTGTGATGATAACTGTAGCAATGGACGGGGGAAAAAATCTGACAATGTATGTTAAATGATCTGTGCATTAAGTCTTGGAGTGTACAGGTAAATGCATTTCTATGAAATATGTTACTTAGTTGTTCTTTTTGTTACTAACTTTTCAAATCAGTCACTCAGTGACTTTTTACATGTAAATTAATTTACAGATTTTTAAAAATAGAATCATTCTAGACATTTTGTTTTATGATCTGTCTTGACAGTGATTATTTTTATTAATAAACAGGATACGTTAAAGGTGCAGTGTGTAACATTTTTGAGTATTTATACAGAAATGCAATATGACATCCATAACTATGTGTTCAGTAGTGTATAAAGAACTTACTTAATAAACCGTAATGTTTTTATTACCTTAGAATGAGGCATTTATATCTACATAGGCGCGGGAATCCCCTTCTATGAAGGTCGCCATATTGTGACGTCATGTTTCTACAGTAGCCGAACGCAAACAAACAACGCTACAGAGCGCGTTTCGTCACTACCTTGAAAGAGAAGCCGCAGGAAGCTAGAAGAAGCTAGTCATAAACACCGTGAGTAGTGACTTTTCCCTTGTCAGTGGTGTAAATATGTAGTTGGATTGTTTCATGTAACTTAATTCTTCTCCCTCGCTGTGTTATGGCTTTGCTATGTGGGGATAAATGTGCTGGTTAAGTTCGTGAGACAGCTGATTAGTAGGCTAACGTTACTCTTGTCATTGACCGTAAAACAGTTACAGGAATCACCAACCCGTCGATCTTGGAAGCATTTTAAGTCGATCGAGTTTCCAAAATCAGAGAAAAAAAGCCTATTGTGTGTGTCTAGGGGATGCGGAGGCGCGCGCGCTGTTACAATCACGTCATTTTTGCCGCACGCACCTTTGGGCTCATGCGGACGCGTCGAGTTTAAACAAGGCTTTACGCTTTAACCAGCTCAGCCACAGTAACAGCTCATATTAGCCAGCTAAACTTTTACTACCCTGTTAGAAAAAATATATAGTTGCATAGTTTCATGTGGTTCTTCTCCCTCGCTGTATTATGGGTTTGCTATGTGGGGAGAATGTGCTGGTTATGTTCGTGAGACAATCAGCTGATTACTATTATTATATTATGTATTAAGACCTTTGATCCTCACCTGAAACTTTATCCATGATGTGGTTTATAATGGACTGTGGTACAGAAACTTGGTTTACGCTGGCTATTCTCTGCCGTTTCAGATGACGATGTTTGTCCCGTTTTAGCCACCGTAGCTTCTTCGAAAGGGAGGGGTTAGCGGTGGGCTGAGCCCTTAGTGTAAACTCGCAACCGAACCGCTAGATGTCGCTAAAAATCACACACTGGACCTTTAATATTACAAACTGTTTCTTTGCATTTTTTGTGGATTTATTGTCAGTACTGAGCTCGCAGTTCACATGGGAAGGTTACTTTGTACTTTGTGTGTAGATGGCCAATTGGCCATGTTCGTCAGTCACCACCGAAGACCAATTTTGACCCAGGAAAAACCCTGGATGTAGAAGAAAGGAGACTCATCATTGGACCAGGCAACCTTCTTCCACTGCTCCAGTTCAAGCTCATTGTAGGCGCTTTCGGCAGTGGACAGGGGTCATCATAGGCACTCTGATTGTTCTGCGGCTAAGCAGGCCCATATGCAGTAGAGTGCAATGCACTGTTGAATTTGTGACACATTCCTCCCATAACATCATTGAAATTTTGTGAAGTGCCAAAGAAGACCTTCTGTTGGCTCAAATATACAATCCTTTAGAAATCGATTCTAATATGCTGATTTGATTCTAATATGCTGATTCTCCCTTTTCTTGTTTGGGACTAATTTTGCTATATTTTTTCACTTCTACATATAAAGCAAGCAGCCCTACCCACTCATAGACATGAAGATATACAGTATATGCACATGGTATTCACACTTTTCTATTGTTGAACTGTAAGCATTTTCATAACACCCAGACCTTCTGTATGTGTGCGTGAGTATAAGGCGGACGTTGAAGATTGTGTGGATCCTCCGTGGACCCTCTCTGAGGTCATTCAGTAGATACATAACTTGACAGCATTCTCTTTCTGTCTGTCCCTCTGTGATGATTGGGTGAAAGGCCAGCTTGCAGAATGTCTCTTAGGAATGCCAGTATGTGATTGACAGCTCCTTAGGTCTTATGTTATCAGAACTAAAAATAACTGGTAAGTGGTCCGTTTCCAATGAAGGAAACAACACATAACCATGTCTCTGACCTTTGCAAGTCTTTTAAGACCCTATCCCCTTTCCCCCCTCTTTCTTACGGTTACTCCGTCATTCTATCCCTTCCTTTTGGGAAACCCCATCTATTTTAACCAGGGAATACTGCAGTCTAACATAATTAAGACTTTAATTGTTTTGTGCCTTCATTTCTCAACGGATCTAATCCGTAGAATGAAGTCATGAATAGAACATAGTGCAGTGTGTGTCTTTTGAAAGATAAATAGTAATGTTATTATACACTCACCGGCCACTTTATTAGGTACCCCATGCTAGTAACGGGTTGGACCCCCTTTTGCCTTCAGAACTGCCTCAATTCTTCGTGGCATAGATTCAACAAGGTGCTGGAAGCATTCCTCAGGGAGTTTGGTCCATATTGACATGATGGCATCACACAGTTGCCGCAGATTTGTCGGCTGCACATCCATGATGCGAATCTCCCGTTCCACCACATCCCAAAGATGCTCTTTTGGGTTGAGATCTGGTGACTGTGGAGGCCATTTTAGTACAGTGAACTCATTGTCATGTTCAAGAAACCAATTTGAAATGATTAGAGCTTTGTGACATGGTGGAAGTAGCCATCAGAGGATGGGTACATGGTGGACATAAAGGGATGGACATGGTCAGAAACAATGCTCAGGTAGGCCGTGGCATTTAAACGATGCCCAATTGGCACTAAGGGGCCTAAAGTGTGCCAGGAAAACATCCCCCACACCATTACACCACCACCACCAGCCTGCACAGTGGTAACAAGGCATGATGGTTCCATGTTCTCATTCTGTTTACGCCAAATTCTG